GGCTTTCGGGGCGCCGCTAGGCAGGGCAGGCACCCACGCAGCACCTGCCGCCGCAGGCTGCGAATTGGGGTGCGCCCCAAGCAGCGGCGTCCCCCATTGTCAGCTCGAAGCCGCGGCTCGCCCGAGGTACCGTTCAATGGCGGCCCGCTCGCAGACCTGGAAGTTTGGTCAATGATCCTGCCTCTGCTTAATGCTGGAAATGGAAGACCCTGACTCTGGAAATGTCCTACGAGGAAAATGGCGCTCGTATGATGCCGCGTCGTGAGTGTACCGCCAGTTCTTTGATTAGTAGCAGCTTCCCCGGCAGGCCCTTGGAACGGGGCGGCCAGGTGAAAACGCGGGGCCATCACACCCCCGCTATCAAAGTCCCCAGAGCGACAACCAACAGAAACCAGCAACGGTCTAAGCGCCGCATTGGCCTGCACCTACAGAGCCAGTCTGACACCCTCGCAGAAGAAGAGAGAGGACTTTCACGATGATTCAAACCCATCACTGGGGCGTTGCCTCAATCCGCAGAAGTGCCGTAGGGATGGTCCTGGGGGCGACCGCCGCGATCCGTCGACCTTTGCGGGCCCTGCCGATGGCCACACCGAAAAGCCTGGCAGCAGCAGCTGGTGGCGGTGCGAAATCATGCCACGACCGTCGCGTTAATGCAAGAAGGTACGCTTATGGTGTCGCGTGTTGAGCTGAAAAGCTCGTGCCACGGTTCTAGGTCATATAACCTCTACAGGTCCGAAGACGACGCACGGTGCGGCGCAGTGCCTACTCGGTTCGCCTCGGCCGCGGAGGCGGCCCACCCAGTAACCCTGAGCAGCGTGTTCAGGATCAGCCGCAGGAGGGTCACGCCACCATCCTGCCTCTGCTCCCGCTCTGCCCCCTCCTCCTGAGGGGCCACGCTGGGGCGGGACCACCTCAGGGGGGGAAACGTCGAGCTCGAATCGACGACACATCGCCGATTGGTCGGCGACAGGCGCCCGACAGCGCTTGCGCACGGTCCTGGACGGGGCGGGCTACCAGGCCTCCACCGGCGATCACGCATCCCCAGACATGCGACGTTCTGATGTTTTCAGGACAGCGTCCCTGGTTAAGCCCCGACCCTTTCCCCGGGACCAGTCTTCCGTCCTGAGTCGTTTGTTGACGACCCCGAGGCCCGGCGAGGGCCCCCCGAGGCCGAAAATAGCCCAAAACCTCCCGTCCTGATTTTTGTACGACGCGATCATGTCTGGGCCCTCTCCCTGCGCCTTCCCCCCCCAACTTTGCCCAGGACCGTGCTCACGCTCCGCCCCCTACCCCTGGCCCCTGGCTCCTGCCGCCCCTGCCGAGCCCCTGCCAGCCCCCTCTGATCCTCGGGTCGGGCGAAAGGGGGGGATAGCAAAGCGGGGGTTTGAGAATCAGCTCACGTAGCTGATTTTCCCGGCGCCTCCCGGCGCCGGAAGGCGGCCATGTATCGAGGAATGGGCCCCTCGGTGAAGCCGAAACCAGCTGCATGCAGCAAATTTCGTAACCCCCCCCTTTCCCAATCCCCCCCTTTCGCCCGGCCCGAGATCCCCGGGCCCCGAAGGGAGGACCGAACGAGCGCCGATGCCGTTCCCTTTTCGCGCGCGCGCGCGGGGAGCGCCACCGCATGGAGGCTGGTGGAGGGGCCGCGGCACCTCGATAGCCAGCTCCGCTCTTGCGGTCGGGAGAACGCTTGCCTGGCGCTTCGCCGAAGCGGCCCCAGCGACGTGCTGCGTTCGGGATATTACGCGCTCTCTCTCTCTCTCTTTCTCTCTCTCTCTCTATATATATATATATATACATACATACATACATACATACATACATACATACATACATACATACATACATCCGAGACCCCGCTGGGAGCCGCCTCGCGGCCGGCCGCGCGTCCCCTCTCTTCCAGGAGGCGTGCTCCATGCGTTCTCGGTCTGCTTGCGCTCTGCGCCTGGAGCTCCGGCCCCCGTCCTCGGCTCCGACCGCCCCCACCCCCCCCAGCAGGCAGGGCGCCCCCCCTCCCCCACAGCTGGCCGCGCTCCTCCTCCCCCGGCAGGCAGCGTGCCTCCCCTGGCGTCGGCAGTCCGGGCGCCTCCTCCGCGACCCCTTGAGCTCTTGCACCCCGCTGCCAGAGCTCACCCCGCTGCACGCTCCGCGCGGGACGGCCCGCTTCCGGCCGCACTCCCCCGCCGCAGCCTGCCCCGCGACACCCCGGCCGCCGGCCCCGTGCTTCTTCTGCCAACAGCCCGCGCGCCCCCTCTGCCCCGCCCACCTGTCCGGGGGCCACATGCGAACCCTACCCCTACCCCCCACGATTTCTGAGGGGGAGGGTGGGGTTCACTTCGCTCATGAGCTCCCGAACGAAGTGAACCCCACCCCACCCTCAGAAATCGTGGGGGGTAGGGGTAGGGTTCACAGCACGGCCATAAACCAGCTCCGCTCCTCTTCCCCAAGCACCCGCGCACCCTCTCGTTCCGAGACCTTGGACCTTGAGCTGCTGCACGGCACGGCACCGCAGCCCCACCCTACCACGGCCAGGGACCCCCCCTTGCTGGAACCCGTTCCCTCCGTGCAAGAGCGCGTACTGTTTGTTTTCACTGCGGCGTGCCAAAGCAACAGTTGCTAGGAAGCGTTAGCTGGCAGCTCCTGAAAATCACTAGCGATTCAGACGCTCTCGTGGAGAGCCATGCCTTCTTCGCCGCAGTGGTATTCCGCAAATATGTTGGTACGTCTGCCGCTACATGGCAACCAAGAAAATATATCAGCACCGAGAGAACGATTGATCCAGTGTTCAGTGTACTCCGACCTCTGTCGAAAGGGCGACAGGTTAATCTGTGGAAGAATTTAAAATGGCGTGCACGCCTGGGCCTCCAAATTGAAAGCGTAGACTCGCCAGATTCCCCAAACAGTGCTTCGCACTTAGGGATTCTTATTTGGGCCCCTAAGGAATTGGATGGGTAGGCCGAGGTTTCGCCACGGTCACGCCTGTTGACGCCCACTGCCACCTGCGGGGGTCTGCCGAGGACTCGCCACGCTGCCGCCCGTTGCCAACCGATGCCGCCTCGTTGCCGCACCGTTTTGAGCTATGTGGGTATGCCGAAGATTCGCCACACGTTGCCCCATAGTGCCGCGCGTTACCGCCTGCACACGCCGAGAGTTCGCCACGCTGCTGCCGGTTGCCGCCTCGCTGCCGCCTGTGGGGTAATGTGTAGAACTCGCCATGTTGTCGCCCGTTGGCGTCTGTGGGGGTATGCCGGGGATTGGGCACGTTGCCGCACGTTGCCACCTTGTTGCCGCCCGCTGCCGCCCGTGGGGGTTTGGATGATTCGCCACGTTTCCGCTCGTTGCGGCCCGTTGCCGCTGGTATGGCAATGGGTACGCCGAGGATTCGAGATGTTGCCAGCCGTTGCCGCCTCGTTGCCCCGTCATTGCCGCCTCGTGCGCTGTCTGGGCATGCGGAGGATTCGCCACGTTGCCGACCGCTACCGCATGCGGGGGTATGCCGAGAATTCGCCTCGCTGCTGCTCGTTACCGCCCGGTGCCGCCTCGTTGCCGCCTGGTGCGCTGTGTGGTTTGTCGAAGCTTCGCCACGTTGCCGCCCGTTGCACCCCATTGGCGCCCGTTGCCGCCCGTTGCCACCTCCTTGCCGCGTCGTTGCCGCCTCGTGTGATATGTGGCTACGCCCAAAATTCGCCAAGTTGCCACCGGGTTGCTGCCTTGTTGTCGCGTCGTTGCCGCCACGTGCGCTGCATGGGTATGCCGAGGATGCGCCACGTTGCCGCCCGAAGCTGCATGCGGTAGGGGTCTGCCGACGATGCGCCACGTTGCCGCCCGTTGCCGCCAAATTGCGCGTCGCTGCCGCCTCGTGAGCCGCGCGCGCGCGCGCGCGCGCGTGTGTGTGTGTGTGTGTGTGTGTGTGTGTGTGCGTGTGTGTGTATGTGTGTGCGTGTGTGCGTGTGTGCGTGTGTGCGTGTGTGTGCGTGTGTGTGTGTGTGTGTGTGTGTGCGTACGAAAGTTCGTCCCGTTGCCGCTCCGTGCCGCCAGCTGCCGCCTGTGGGCGTACGCCGGGGACTCGTTACGCTGCCGCCAGTTGCCACCTCCTTGCCGCGTCGTTGCCGCCTCGTGCGCTGTGGGTATGCTGAAGACTCGCCAGGTTGCCCCCCGTTGCCGCCCATTGCCACCTGCGGGGGTATGCCAAGGATTCGCCCCGATGCCGTTCGCTGCCGCCCGTTGCCGCCCGTTTGGCGCCTGTTGCCGCCTCGTTGCCGCGTCGTTGCCGCCTCGCACGCTGTGGGCATGCCGAGGACTCACCAGGTTGAAGCCCCTTGCAGCCTGTCGGCGCCAGTGGGAGTACGCCGAAGATTCGCAATGTTGCCGCCCGTTGCCGCCTCGTCGCAGCCCCTTGCCGAGTCGTGCGCTGTGTGGGTGTGCCCAGGATTCGTCACGTGGCCGCCCATTGCCGTCATGTTGCCGCCTTGTCACAAAGCTTACGCTCGATAGTTTTCACCTCTGGCGTACACCGCCGAATTTACACGACTTAGCTTGTGCCACATAGCCTGCACCGTAGGAGTTTTCACACATTCAACTCACGCCACATACCACATATTTGGCATGGCATAGCTTACACCGCAAGCTTCTACCTCAACAGTGCAACAACGCACTGGTTGGGGCCCAGTCTGGCTAACAGACAGATGCGACTCAGTTCAGTGGAGATTATGCGGGGTAGCTCCCTTGAGTGCACCCCAAGTTGCCCAACAGGCTGGCGGGCGAATATAGAACATGCAACAGACAAATTGACACGGCCGTCATACTTTGGATAGCGCCCCTTCAGACGTTATCCCCGGACCTCACAAAGGACAGGTCCATGACCTGGAACTGATCCTGCTGAGAGAGCTTGCGATTCAGCGCTCTCTGCGACACCCGCTCTACGAATGCCTCGTTGTCGTTGTGCCTCACCATTGCCCACACGTCCCCTTCGATGTGGGCGGCCAGAAGCTCCAGATTGCTCAGCCCTTTGATCCGCCACCGTGCCAGCGGCACGCTGTGTCGCGTTAGGATGCTTGTTAGCCGGCTGGCAAGATTGAGGTAACGCTTCCAGGGTCGTCCCTTCCCCTCATAGCAGCCCGCCCTCTGCAACTGCCCCACCTGGTCTGCTATCAAGCACATTCTCGGCCTCCAGGTGCATGGAAGACGGCCCAAACCGCAACGAAAAGTCAGAGGGACGGCCCAAGACAATTCCAAGACGGCCCAGCGAGCCCCCGCAGGGTCCAGGAGTATCTCAAACTGTCTCAAGAGGGCTCCAAGATAGCCCCAGGATCCGCCAGGACGTCTCCAAGATGGTTCTGCCGAGCCTCTTCGGGAGACCTCTGTGGAACCATCGCGCCCAAGACGTCCCCAAGACACCCGAAGGACCCCCAACAGGTCCCCGTGAGGCCTTCAAGAGGCCTAGAAGAGCTTTCCAAGCAGCGTCAGACACGCCCTCGACAGGGAAATGAGGACGAATGAGGAATGAAGAGGAGAACAACGCGGCGGGCAAATAGAGGATATTCATGACTCGCGCGAGTTCAACCAAGGCACTGGTCTCGAGCGGTCGTGAAATCAACGTCATCCTCCTCCTCTGTCTCTTCCTTTTCCAGCTCTAGCGATACCCCCAGTCAACTGTGGATTGTATTGGATTTACTATACTCGGATTCAGCGCTCGTCTCGATGTCTCGATACTAGGATAGACTTGAACGGCAATTCGGCGGTGACGTTTACCCGGTCGGGTTCCCACAGCTTGCGTCGATGTCTGTATTAGGCATGTGGGCTCGACAGATCTATATACATACATACACTTAGACAAGGAAGGTAAAACATTAAGAGACTGCGGCCCAAAGCGGGGTGTTAAAGATCTTCGCTGAATCAAGCAAGGCGCTGAACTGGAGCGGGTCTAATACTCATCGTATCCGGGAATGCCTTCAAGAAGGGATAGAGTGGAGGCGGGGAGGAGGAGGGAGGAGACAGGAAGAGGAGAGCAAGGAAGGCTGCGAGCGACAAAAAGGGGGTCCTCAAAACCCGCGTCAGCTCTAAGGCAGCAAAAAGGTGGGGAGGACCTTACCAATCGGTCGGAAGAGGTGGGTAGAAACATGAAGCAGGAAGGCGTTGGAAGTATTTTGGACATTCGCCCCCTCCCCCCCTGCCGACACTGCTAGTCCAGGAAGGCGCCTAAAGTAGATCGGAAGATCGGGATGCAGAAACAGATGTTCAACGGCCAGTGGATAAATTTCACCAGCCTTCTGGGCTTACGGAGGTGGAGTAGAGCGCCACCTTTTCCAAGACCCCCCTGTTCCCCTTCGGGACACCGCCCTGGGCCTGGAAGGGCCCTCCACGTGAGAGGTCTGAAAGCCCTCGTTTGGGTCCAAGATGGCCTCGAGATGGCCTCAGATAGCCAAAGATGGCATCCAATGTGGGGAGACCAACATGTACCGATGCCGCTACTCCCTGGACCTCTCCTGGGGTGTCTTCTGGTGATTATTTCGAGGCGAATCCAGCGGTGACGACGAAGGCCCCCAGGAGGCTCACTAGGGGGAAAAAGAGGGACGTATGGTGGTATGGGTACCTTTTCCTCCTCTGGAGAGATGGCCTCTAATGTGGCACACTATGCCCCGACATGGCTTAAGCAGCAAGCCATCATGCCTCCAAGAGGCGCCAAGGCCGCTATGAGACGAGCTGGAGGTGACCACGGAGCCTCCCAAGGATATCACCGAGAGGGCTAACCAGCCTCGATCCGATCCCTATTCCTAAGATTGACAAGCCCAAATGCGATGACAATCTCTTACGGGAGCGGGCGAAATGCGGACCTCGCCCATCCGCCGCGCAGCTTGTGAGCGAAAGCGGCAGTGCTGTGTCAGCGCGGCATATGCTCCGCCTTTGCCGCGTCCATCCGATGCTTTGCCGCTCCCGCCCCTGCACGGTCAGCGTAGGTTTCAATTCGCCAGGCGTCGGAAGCGGTGTCGCGCGGGAGCGCCTTTCGTTTGCGAGGTGGGGGCGCCTTCCAATCCCAGTGTCAAGTTCTGCCACGCAACCGATTCCTGTGTTGTGGGAGGGAGGGTGGGAATAAGCGGGGCTCTCTAACTCGCTCGACCTGGCTATTGAGTCCTATTCCTACTTTTCTTCCTCCTCTTCCCTCATCCATCCTCCTCCTCCTCCTCCTCCTCCCGCATCCTTTCACCTCATCCTGCTTCTCACCCGCCTCATCCTTTCTCCTCCACCTCCTCCTAATTCGAAAGAGCCGCGAATGCGTATTGAAGTTCACTCTTGGGTCTGCTCAGATTAATGCCAAATTCGGTTTGACAAGTTCCTCCCTTCTTCTTCTTCTTCCCACTGTATGCTCCCACTCTGACTTGGTCAAGACAAATAGTCTGGGCATCTAATCTGGATGACCTAGAGGGTACACTTTCTTGGTCGCGGGCAGACGCGTGAAGCTGTCGCCGAGAGGGGGGTCCGGGGCGCGGGCCAGCCTACCTAGAGGGTGCACGCGAAGCGTCCACATTTCAACATCCTTCCTGCTGCGCTGCTGAGCTCGCACGGTGGCGGGGTTTGCCGCAAGCACCTGAATAATATCGATGCGGATGGACACGGTCTTGGCCACAGCGGACACCGTCTCGGGCCAGAGCTCCCGCGCACAGCGGTAGATGTCGGCGAGGATCCGGAGCCTCGTCAAGGTGTCGTCGCTCTGCCCCAGGCTCTGCAGGAAGGCGGGGCCGTAGTAGACGAGGAAGGCCGGACCCCCGGGGAGGTCGCGCGACTCGTCCAGCACCAGGCCCTTGGAGTAGCTCTGGCTCATGCAGGCGGTGCGCCCCATCTCCAGGCTGAGCAGCTCCCGCTCCTCATCCGGCAGGCCGGCGAAAGCCTCGAGGACACGAGCGGCGTTCGCCTGGGCCATGCACGCCAGCCGCATCCTCGCGACGGCGTCGGGTCCTTCGGGGAGAGTGCCGTGCCCGTCCTCCTCCCACCGCATCTTCAGGTACCTCTCCAGCACCGCGGTCTCCGTTTCGGCCGCGATCCTCCCGACGAAGCTGAAGGATTTGATGAAGCTGTTCAACACGCTCACGGGGAACTTGTGGGAGAACTTCTCGCAACCGGCCAGCGGTGTGGGCTCCGCTCCAGCGAGATCTGTGAACCAATGCACAAAATAGAGCGCGATGTCTCGCTGCCCGATCATGAGCTTGTGGTCCCGGATCAGAGTCTCCCGCATGCGCGTGAATATCGCTCCTGGGGGTGCTTCGGCCTGAACGAGCCAGCCGTGATTGAAGCAGAGACTACACTGCGTGAACTGAACGGACCTCCTCTCCTCGGGACTCAAGTCCCTGAACGACGGCAACAAGTTCGGGAAAAAGTCCATGATGTAGCTCAGAGCGTGGTCATGGTCGCCGATCGTGTCACCAGCGGAATAGCCGTGGTAAGGCGCATGGTCCGCTTCAACAACTGGGCAATACTGGTCCATCTTCATGATGTCGTGGATCGCCGTCAGGGCCAGCAGAGATGTGAGACGCTTCTCGTTGACTACGAAGTACGTCCCTCTGCCGAACAGCTTCTTCTTTTCCTGGAGGACGCCCGCGTTGACCAGCAGACCCCTGAGGAACTCCCACTTGGCCTCCTCGTCGAACTTGGCGCGCTTCTCCGCGAAGGGCACCCGCGAAGAGCTTCTGCTCTGGGCGCTGATGGGGACCCACTCCTCGTCCACGCCGAAGGAGAAGCCGTCACGGCCATCCCCATCGAGCCTCAGCAGCCAATAGATGGCAAAGAACGCGCCAACGGTGCGCTGGTACTCCTCCGTGGTCGTGCGGCCACTGGATGCTGCTGGGCTGACAAAGTCCGAAGCTGTGCACTTCTCGTCGTCGCTGCCGCGGGCCGGGAGGTACAGGCTCAACTCCGGGAAAGCGGAGAGGTCGGCGTAATACATTTTCAGCGAGTAGTCGGGGTCCGTGATCCGCTTCGTGATGCAGGAGACCCTGCCCCAGTCCGTTGACCTTACGGGGGGAACTCCACAACGTGAAAACTTTCGTGGCTCCGCGCGGGCTTCTCGGACCAGCGCCGGGCCCCTCCCTGGCGCGCGGAGCACGCCAGGGGCGGCGCCAGAGGTGCCGTCAGGCCCAGCGCAGATCCAATAAATCCGAGAGGAGCTCGGAAAGCGTAGGATTAAGTCGGGCTTGCCCCTCTACAGGAGGAATATTCAAAAATAGTTTTGAAAAAATAGCCTGGGAATAATTCTTCTAGTATTTTTTGAATATTGTTGAACATGCTTTGGGTGTTCTATGTTTTTTCGTCCAAAATCCCTCTGTAGGGGGACACGCCCTACCTAAGCGCAGGATTGTGCAATCGTTTCGTCCTCGAGGCCTGCCGTCCAGCATCCTCTACGGGCGACGGCAGGGGGGGGGACTGGCAGAGGGGGGAACGTCGACCTGGCATCGGCGAGGCCTCGCCGACAGATCGGCGAGGAGCCCCCGACTGCGAAAAAATGCAGCTTCCAGGGCGGGGTGGGATGTCGGGCCCCTGTCGGCAATCCATGGGCAATTTGGGTGTCGATGCGCCACCCCCCAAGCTACTGTCCTTCGGTGGTTTGCGGGTCCGGAGATGGAACGCCCTCGGCAAGGCGCAGCTGCTGGAAGGCATCCGGAGGCAGGAACGAGAACCGACGAAAACGCCCGAAGACCGCGGACTTCGAACCTCGAAGCTTCGCCCATCCTGAGCCTCTCCCTCCCTTACCGTTGCCCTCGCGAATCCTCCACAAGGCGGCGTTGGGTGAGCTGCCCGGGGGGCACGGCCGCGACGGGCCCTCGCGCGCGCAGCGGGTCATCGGGAGTGGGACCACGGCGCTGAGGCGCGCCTCCAGGGAGTTGAAGCTGCTTGCCCTGTTCGTCTCCTTGGGCGCCAAGTCCGGCTCTCCGGCCTGAAGGGGGCCCCCGAAGATCCAACAGATTCAAACACAGAACGGAATTGTTTCGCCGTCTTCGGCCTCTAGAGGCCCTCGCCTGGCCCCAGGACCGTCAAGCAACGAATCAGGATGAAAAGCCAGTGCTGGGGAATGGGTCGAGACTTCCTGGGACCCCGCATTGACGACAAAATGTTGCTTCGAGCGATCCCCACGGAAACCTTCGGCCCTTGCTCCGGAGTCTGGTACTGTTTGCTAGTGTGGCCAGCCCGAGCTTGGCGCACATGTCGCGTTTGACAGACGCAACTATTCGGACGCTGCTGCATTCTACTCTATCACGTTCTGTCCGGTTCTGTTGTGCTCTGCGCACATATGGCTTATTATACTCTGATCTCTACGGGGCGGCGTGACGTCTAATCGGTCGTCGCTGCGCCTGCTTTTGTCCTACGGCCAGCCTTACGACGGCGTGGATGCTGCGCTTGACACGTCGCCATCCGTCTGTCGTTGCACTCTCTACCCGTTTTCAACTACGATATATTCCATCCTGATCCAAGACCTCACGCTATACTATGTTATGTAGTGTGTTCGAAGGGCCGGCGACAGGTCGTGATGAATGCCAGATTAGATACGCCGTTTATTCGATCGCAGCTGCGCCTGTCTAATCCGGCGGCCAACCGGGCATCGGCGCACACATCTCGTTTGACTACTTTATGGTACGGTCGATCATGCGATGATGTGCGTTTGATGAGATGCCGCGAATGTGTGACTGCTTTTTGGCATGTCCTGTTCTCTTGGTTTCTGCCCTAATCTATTTCATGGCACTGTGTTCTGTCACGTTCTGCTCTGGACGGGCAGGCGTGACGTCGTGACGCCTGTCGCGTTTGATATGTTGTCTAATCGCCCGCTGCTGCTGCTGATTATCCATGGCCAGCGTGGGCTCGGCGCGCATGCCGCGTATGATACGACGACATTAATCGGTCTCTGCTGTGTTCTACTCTGTGATGTTCTGTTCGGCTTTGTTCTGCTCTATGCAAGTTTGGTGTTTTTTGTTTCTGGCCTGCTCTCGACGGGCCGGCGTCACGTCATGGAGCCTGTCACGTTGGATATGTCGTCTAATCGGTTGTTGCTGCGCCTGTGTGTCCTGTTGCTCGCATTACGTCGGCGTGGCTGCCACGTCTGGCAAGGCGCAATTAATCGGTCGTTGCTGCATACAGCAGCATGCAATCATAGTGTATCCCATCATTTTCTAGCTTGTTAAACTATAATATGTTTGGTTATGTTCTCGACGGGCCGGCGCGACGTCGTGACGACTGTCACGTTAGCTAAGTCGTCCGATCGGTCGTTGCTGCGCATGCTTGTTCCTGTGGCCAGCCTGACCTCAGCGCGCAAGCCGCGCTTGGGTATATTGAGATACGGTCCATAATCTGTTGATGCTCCCCTTCAGTGGTGGTTCACCCTGTTATATAAAAGACAACTGTGTTATGGTCATCTCTGCCCTATGACGAAGTGTTTAAGTGTTGTGCCATCTAATGGTCTGCTGCGTTATGCTGTGTTGATTATGCTACGTTGCTTGTGCTATGTTGTGTCATCTCATGGTCAGCTCTGTCGTGCTATGTTCAAGTGGCAACCTTTTCAAGTATGCTATCGTCCATGAGACTATGTCATGTTCGTTGCCGTAGTCGCTGCAGCAGTACAGCACCTTTGAAACTGTGTATGGATTACGTTGTGCCCAATTCAATATAATGCGTTATGAGATGCGGGTCCTCTTCATCATGTACCGCTCTAGTAGTTCCGATTACATGTGTTGCCGTCGCGGTAGCACCAGTACAACCAATAGGTTATGCTATGCTAGGAGCTGTTATGCTAGTCTACAGTGCGCTTCGCTCGGTCATGCACTGCTTTGTGTTTGTATAGTATGCTCGACGCTGTGTTATGGTATGCGTTGTTCTGGCATGCTGGTAATGGTATGCCATGTAATGTTATGTTGTGCACTGGTGTCATAGTCTATGTTGTGCCGCGCTCTGCCATTATATTCTGCGTCATGTCATGATATGACATGTTATGTGACAATATCGTTTGTTGGGGTATGATGTGTCATGCTATGTTATGGTTTGATCTGGTATGTGGAGCTATGGTATGATCTGCACTGTGATGTTTCGCTGTGAAATGTTATGATTCGTTCTGTGTGCTCCAGTCTGTCCTAGCCTGCGTTGTTATGCTATGTTGTGCCGTGTTGTCTGATTTTGTGTTCTGTAATGCTCTGTTATGTCATGTTGTGTTCAAGTGTCATGCTCTGTTCTGTCATGGGGCTTTCTATTATGCTCAGTGCTGTTACATATGCTCTGTCATGCTGGCAGGGGCAGGGTTCTCGGGAACTCTCGGTGGACCTTGGGATCTGGCGGCCGCGATGTGCAGAGTGGGCGGGGTGCGGCCGCAATATGCAGGGTGAGCGGGTCCGGGGGGTATTCAAGAATGTTACAACTATTATGCTTATTGAAGTGGTGCTGTATACGTGATGCTCAGCTCAGTGCATTACATTTTTTTTGTTTTTTGTTTTTTGTTGTCTCACCCTCGCCAAATCACTAACGCAGGCACGGCTGTTCTGTCTCTGGAGTGAGCGCGCTCCTCGCCGAGTGCGGCAGCAACGCGCTGCAGCGGCCCGCTCAAAACAATATCTGCAGCGTTGTGGCCCTGAGCTCACGTCTCTATCCGAAATGTCTGTCCCTGTGTTCAGCCTCCCGCTGCGAGCAGAGCCCCGATCAGGCGGGCATGTACATCTTGCACATGTCATCGATCGCGTGGGCGAGGGCCTCGGCGGCCGCTGGGTCGGCCGACTGCTTCGCCTTCACCGCGGCCGTCATCGCCGCGTGGTGGGCCTTCAGGGCGTCCACGTAATCGCCCTCGCTCTTGAAAGGGGTCTTGGGGTCACCGACTGGCTTGACGCGCTGGCAGAGACAGTACTCGGCGATCGTCGAGATGATCTTCGAGCAATGCTCTTCCTTGGTGTTCACCCAGCGCGTCATCTGGTTGAACGACTGCGCGGTCATCGTGCCCGCGAAGAGCTCGTTGCCCTGCGCAATCGCCTTCGTGATCGTGGCGCACGCCTCCTTCAGCTCGGCGACGAGCTTGGGATCATCGAAGATGCCGCACGGCACCTGGCAGTGGCCGCCACGGAGGCGCAGCACGAGGTGGAGGGTCGACTCCTTCTGGATGTTGTAGTCCGAGAGGGTGCGGCCATCCTCGAGCTGCTTGCCTGCGAAGATCAAGCGCTGCTGGTCGGGGGGGATACCCTCCTTGTCCTGGATCTTGGCCTTCACGTTATCAATGGTATCGCTCGCCTCGACGTCGAGGGTGATCGTCTTACCAGTCAACGTCTTGACGAAAATCTGCATGGCTTCAAAGTTTGCTTGGTTGGAACCAAACGGAAACCTTGAGAAAACGGCTTGAGCCAAAATGGCTACGGACCTCAGTGCATTACATTATGATTTGCTCTATTATGGGATACTTCTTCACTGAAGCTATAGCCGATGATGATGTATCGAACTCGTTGTCGGGGTGGTAGCGGCCGTCGAGCTATTATGTTATGGTTACATTGTGAATTGCTCTTTCTATGATGCGACCTGCTGCTTTTCAGGATACTCATCTGAAGTGCGTTACCGTCATGGTATCACTCGTAAAACAATTATGTTATGCGATGTTAAGACATGGTGTGACACACTCTGCTATGCTCCGTTGCGTCATGGTATGCGCTGTGTTGTTACGTCGTACTCGATGTTGCGTTGTGGCATGCTCAGTCCCGGTATGGTATGCAATGGTATGATTTGTTCTGCTATGCTATGATACACATATATACAATTATAGATAGCACCTCATGCTACACCGCGCTCTGTTATGCTTGGTGCTGCAATGCAATGCTGTGTTATGGTATGGTGTTCCGAGCGATCTGTTCTGTTGGGGTGCAGTGATGTATGACATGATCTACTGTGCCTCGACGTGCGGTGCTATGATCTGCTACGTATGCTCCACCCTGTCATGGCTTGCGTTGTGATGCTGTGTTACGGCTTGCTCTTCTCCTCAGACATGCTATGTTATGACCTGTTTTGTTACAGCAGTATGTTAGGCTTTGGTCTGAGAGGTCTGGTATCGTATGCCACGCTCTGATTTGATGTGTCGTCATAGCATGTACTGATATGTTGTGTGATGATGTCTTATGGGATGCTATGTTATAGTATGGTATGTGGTGGTATGCTTTGCCATACTACATTATAATGTGTTGTGGTATGCTCTCTGAAATTGTGATGTTTGGTGGTCTGCTCAGGCGTGTCGTGTTAGGCGGGACTCTTGGAGGATTCTCGGTGCACCTGGGGATCTGGCGGTCGTGATATGCAGGAAGAGGCGGGTCGGCGCAAGGCGGGAGTCTCGGGGGACTCTCGGTGGTCCTGGGGATCGGGCGGCCACGGTATGCAGGAGTCTCGGGGGACTCTCGGTGGATCTGGGGATCTGGCGGCCGCGGTATGCAGGGTGGGCGGGCTGGCAGGTTAGTTTTTAAAACCCACCGACCCCAATCTGTAAGGTGGGGAACCAGACATCGGATTCTGCGGACGTCAGCCTTACAGGGTTGACGACTTTTCGCCAATCGACCTGTGGAGATCAAGCTGGACAAATCAAGGTAAGTGCAGACAAATCTAGGACATCCACAAACAAATCCAAGCATATGCAACGATCCCCCAGGAAATGTGAAAGACCACCCTGGCCGCTCCAGCGCGAGTCGAGGGGCGGCAGGATTCGTCAAGCCCTTAGCGAACGTCAGGAGGGGACTGGCTCGCCCTGACCTCCCCGCGCTGCGGAGAGACCACAGCGCGGGGCGAGCAGTTTTCGGCACCGGAGGGCCCGCACTGGGCCCCGAGACCGTTAACCAATCAACTCGAGATGAACAACTCGTCCCCGGGAAGAAGTCAAGACCTCGTGGGGTCCACGTGTTGGTGGCGCGCACGAGGGCGTAAGGGGAGGGGAGGCAGCCTCTCGGAGTGAGGCCGCTTCTTAGACGGCGCCGGCCCTACATCTACAGGCAAGGCCCGCGCTTTCTGAGAAGCAGGGGTACTTCTAAGAAGCTCTTTCCCCCCTCCCCCTACCCCCCTCTGCGCGTGGCCGAGAAGGGGTCCAGACCTTTGGGGGCCAACGTTGTGGAAAATGAAGACGATGGATGTCTGGACAGGGTGTCGGAAGCATCGGCCTGGGATCGGCGACACATCGCATATGGATCGGCGACAAGCTCCCGATAACGAAAAAACGCACGTTACAGGGCGGAGTTGGCTATCGGGCCCCTGTCGGCGAGATCTGGGCGATCGGGGGTCAAGCCTACCCCCCTGATTTTCGGGTCATAACTCGGCTCTCAAGCGGCCGGTTGGGAAGATCGGGGCACCCACGGAACGCTCTCGCCGAGGCGCAACTGCTGGAAGGCACCCCGAGGATGGAATACCGCCAAGAACCGGCGAAAATGCTAGAAAACCTCAGGTCTGAAGGGGCCCTGGAACACACGAATAAACACACTCAAATAACAGGATTACCCATATTTTCACATATTTTCTGTGCTTTTGTCTTCCCCCCCACTTCCCATAGTTTCCCATATTTTCTAGGGAATCGACGATTAATTGTGTCTGTGTGTTTTTTCCCCTCCTTCACGTCGGGAACTTGTGCTCAGCGCGCCGCCACGGCAGCCCTGGCGACATGCTACGGCCTGCGAGGAGATACCGAGTCGCTCCGCTCGGCAGGACGGGAGGCCGGGAAAGGCTCGGGACGTTGACGCCTGAAGGCTGGGAAAGGCTCGGGACTTCTCACTTCCCACCTCGCTCGCCGCCGATTTAAACGATCCGTACGGTCAGGAACTTTTGGGCAGCGTGCCGCAACGGTGGCCCCTGCGAGACGCGATGCCCTGCGAGCGGGTGCGTGGCGTGTCGCTCCGCTCTGCAGGACGGGAGGCTGGGAAAGGCTCGGGACGTTGACGCCGGAAGGCTCGGAAGTGTTTAGCGTGTCGCCCCGAAGCGTGGTGGGCCAGAACCGGCGGCGCGACACGCTAAGCAAAAGTTCCTGACAGCATCTGCCTGTATTCCCTCCTCCTCCTCCTCGTCCTCCTCATCATGATCTTCCTCCTACTTCTCCGCATCATCATCTTCCTCATCATCACCTTCCTCCTCAACCTCCTCACCCCCTCCCTCCTCCCCCTCCTCCGCCTCCACCTCCTCCTCTGCCTCCTCCTCCTCCTCATCATCATCATCAATTTCCTCCTCCACCTCATCCGCCCGCGCGGCTGCCTCCTCCTCCTCTTCTCCTCCTCCTCCTCCTCCTCCTCCTCCTCCTCCTCCTCCTCCTCCCTCCTAAGCCAAAGATCCCGACCGTACCCCCAGCGTTGCCCAACGATGGCCTCCTGCGGGCCAGCCGACGCCGTCGTGCCGACGGGCGTCCTCTGCCGCCTCCAGGTCCAGATGTTCAGCTGCGAGCCGATCCGCGGGCCCTCCTCGTCCTTGGAAGAAGATGGGCATCGTTCAATCGGCGGTGAGCGAGGTGGGGAAGTGAGAAGGAGAAGGCCTTCTCAGAAAGTTTGGAAGTTCCCCGGCCTTCTCAGAAGTTGACTCAGCCTTCCCCGAAGACGCGAGAAACTTCTCAGAAGGCGCGAGGGCTTCTGAGAAGTCCCGCCGCCCTCTGAGAAAGCCTTCCTTTTCTCACTTCCCCCCTCGCTCGCCGCCGATTTAAACGATCCGTGCGGTCAGGAACTGCTGGACGGCGTGCCGCAACGGTGGCCCCTGCGACACGCGATGCCCTGCGAGCGGGTGCGTGGCGTGTCGCTCCGCTCCGCGGGGCGGGAGGCTCGGATGTGCTCGGGACGTTGACGCTGCGGGACCGGGAAGCGGAGGAGGAGGAGGAGGAGGAGGAGGAGGAGGAGGAGGAGGAGGAGAAACGTTCCCGACCGTGTCCCCACGGGAGCGGCCTGCGCCCCTCCGGCCGATCCAGCCTTCTGGATGGGGGGTATGGGCTGCTCCCCGCAGGCTTCAAGGGGGGCCCATCCCCAACCGGGGTGGCGGGATGGTGGGGCTGAGATGCCATGGCTTTGGGCGCCCGAAAGGGGTACGGAAAGAATGGGTACGATGCCCAACAACAAATGTTGTCCCAAACCAACAGCGGCCGCTGTTGGGCAGGCGGCCTTCTGTCTCGAATGGACACAGGCCGCGGCGGCGCGGACAGCGAGTCCTGTTCAAAATGAACAGGAACTGTTGTTGGGCATCGTACCCATTCTTTCCGTACCCATGTCGGGCGTCCAGAATGGCCTGGTGGCGATGGGGATGAGGTGCACGAGGCTGAGAAAACATGGCTTTCCCCGCCGCGCATCGCAGCCAAGCACGGTGAATATGAAAGGAACCATGCGGTTCCAGACCCCCTCGGCCCTCGGCTTAGGAAACATCGCGACGGGAAATGTTTGGCGATCTTCTGCATCTGGGGGCCCTCGCCAGGCCCCGGGACCGTCAACAACAACGACTCAAGATAAAGAGCCGGTCCCGGGGAATGGGTCGAGACCTCTGGGGGTCCGGGGGTCGGGGGGTCCGTACGTGTCAGATCAAAAGACAATGCTCCCGAACGGCGTTGCGTCATGAGAGCTGGATGGTCCACTAGCGTGGCTGCCAGTCGTCAGGCGGAACGGAAGATAACGTGATATTGAAACAGGAGCCACAAGAGACGAGTGCAAGAAAACAAAAGCTGGAGGAGGAGGAGGAGACAGAAGCGAGGCGAGGGGAATTGACAATGGCGCTGTGTGTGCATCACCACATGGCCCAAACGACTCTCAAAATAATGAGGCGGTGCGCAACGACAATAAAAACGAAAACGATAAGGAGGCGTCCTTGTAGGAACAACCACAGGCGTATGCATGAACTGTCCGAGCTCCACGCCGACTTCTCGAATCTGCCCGAAGTCCGCGCCTCCGAGGAATCCTCTTCGGGTCCGCGTCGAACCCACACCGAACCCGCGCCGAATCCACGTGCAGCCCGCAGCGGATTCAAGATGAGACCCGGACCCATTTACAGGAACTAGCAATCGGTCTAAGCATGCACTTTCGGAGGTCCGCGCGGATCTCTTGGATCGGTGCTGGACCCCCTTTCCCTGGCGCGAGGCGCGCCATGGGCGGCTCCGGAGGAACCACCAAAGGGGTCCAGCGCCGATCCAGGAAAGCCGCGCTGAAGTCCGAGAGTTCATGTTTACGCAATGGTCTCCAATCAGTGTTTGCACGGGTCATCGCGGAAATTGAAAGACTTGGCATTTGGCGAAATGTCCCGCCGATTTTGGTGACCGGCTGGGTTCCTGGGTTCCAGGTTCCGGGTTCCCGGGTTCCTGGTCATTGGTTCCGGTCCGATTTCGGTGGGATCCAGGTTCCCGGGTTCCCGGGGTCCCGGTCGATCTCCTTCTCGATCTCTTTACCGATCCTATTTCAAACCATCCACTGATTGGGGCTTTTATCTCTGGTCCAATTTTCAAGCCGCTGCCCCCAAAGGTCCCGGCCGCATTCCCGTGGCCAGGCTGTCCTCCCGGAGCCGCGCTTGCTGGCCGCAGGGCCCGAAAACGGCCCCTGGAGGGCGCCAGGTGGACGCCAGGTGGAAGTGTGCAGTTTGTGCCTCTCCCCCCGATCGAGTCGGACGAAGAGCTCACGAGGGGGGGAGGGAACTGGCGAATCAGCTCACGCAGCCGACTTTCCTGGCGGTTCGCAGCGCCAGGAGGCGCCAGAGGATCGGGGGGGGGGGCAGCGAATCAGCTCACGTCGACGACTTCCCTGGCGCCTCCCGGCCGCCAGGAGGCGACAGAGTATCGAGGAAGGTGCCCGGCGGCGTGGCTGAAATTGACCCGCAGTAAAAAGGACCCCTAACCTTTTTGAGAAAGGACTTACGTTAGGAGGCCGACAACATTACAGCCGACCTGTATCATAAGGATGCGTGGTAAGGATGCAAGGGCCTTGGAGGCCCATGTGAACGTCTTTCGAACGAGGTTGGCCAGCGAAAGTCGCTAAGGATGGGGCGATTCGGCAAGGATGCAAGGGTACCCTTGGGAAAGTTGCCAATCCTTACTATGCGGGCTGACTGTAGGAAGGGGGCGTCTTTTCAGCAGATGTCTCGAACCAAACCACCAAGATCTTGGATCCCTCGTGCAAGCACGGGGAACTATGATAGGCTGCGTCTTCAGTGTGAAAATTGGGTTCGGGTTCCTCTTATTCTCGATGCGAGACCAGCTACACGCAGCAGCCTCCGCACCCCCTTTTCCAGATGGGGGAAACCAACGAAGCCGGGGCGAATCCAGAGGTGCCGAACGGGGCCTCCCAGGACGCCCCCCTAGCGGTATGGGTACCGTTTCGTCCTCTGACCTCCCCCTCTGTCGAGGTTGGGGGGGAGGGTGCCGAAACGCGCCCAGAGTCCAGCAAGGCATGAGGGTGCAAAACCGACTTGTCTGGCTGATGCTCTGGGGGGGGCCTGTGCTCAGGGGAGGCTGCAGCACCGCTCAACGATGTGCTGTTTCACCGAACCTGCAGGGTGGGCCTTTTCCCGAATCCGTGCTTCAGTGCGGATCGTCTGCGCGCCTCGTCTCCGTCGTCGTCGTCGTCGGCGTCGTCGTGGTCGTGGTGCGTGCTGCTCTGCTCGGGACTCGCTTCCCCAATGCGGTGACCACCACCGCCCACCCCTCCCGACCTCCCCCCCCTGCCTCCCGCCCGATCCGAAGGAACTCCTGTGGAAGATTTCTTGTGGACTGGCCTTCGCTGTATCCATACTCCACGAGCGAGTGGGAGGCCCGATCTCGCTGCCCTCGCTGCTGTGATCGGCCGCTCCGGAGGAAGCGGTGGAAGCAGCGCGTAGGCAGCTCGCAGCGGCAGCAGGCCCGAGGTCCTGCCGCCCGAAGGTGAACTGCCCCTCGGTGGTGGCGAACTCCTGCCCCGTCGGCAGGCCGAGGCGCTGCACGGCCGGGCTCTCGACGTCGACCACGCGGAGGGTGGTGGTGTGGATGCAGAACATGGTGGGCAGGCCTCGGCTGCGCGCTCTGGGCGCTCCCCCGCGGGGGGGGGGGCGGGCGAGCCACGAGGGTGGCCCCCCGTTTTCGCTCCCTTCCGCGAGGGCGGGGGCCAACGAAGGGCAATCCACGAGGGGGGCCAACGGGGGGCGAGCAACGAGGGGGGGGGGGGGGGGGCGATCAGCGAGGGCGGAACGTGCTCCGTTCGCCCTATTTTTGGGCCCCAGGGGGCCGTTTCGGGGCCCCTTCCGGGCCCCTACAGAGCCCCTTTAGGGTGCAAAAGGTGCACCTTGCTTCCCCCCCCCCCATTGATCGCACCACCATTGCCAGGCGCCCGACTCGCAAGAAGTGGCCCTACACCGGGGATTGGTGTCAAGAACGCGTCAGCCGCAGAAGACTGGCTGTGCAAGTCTGGCTTCCATGGCCAGTGGTCTGGGGTCTGGGTCCAGGTCAGGGAGATCCACCGAGGATCTACCGAGAAGAAACGACAACCCGAACAAGCTGCTGAAAGGGGAGAAACGGAAGGACGGGGAAAGACACGGCACCATAGATTCGAGAAACGTCTCCACGGTCAACCCTGGAGTCTAGATCTTCTTTTTCCATATAACCTCGCAAAACATAATCGGGGGAAGACTCAGACTCTGATCTGTCAGGTGCAATTTCGTCCTGCATCTTCTGGGTGTGCAGTCGTGGTGCCAACGCGGCGGCGCTTGTGGCCACAGCGAGCCTCCGCCGCCAACGGGCTCCACGACCTGCAGATCGAAGGCGCGCCCGAGAAGACCAGAGCCCCTCCCGAGCCCAACGTGTGTTTCGCTCAGCGCCGTGAGCGCAGAGGCCCCAGAACTTGGCCCAAGATGCCTCGAGGCGGCCGGATGTGGCCTGCAGACAGGCCAAGGTGCCACCAGAAGGCCACAAAAGAGCGCCAAGAGGTAAGTACGATCACAGCAACGAAGTACGAGGAAGGATGCCGTCCTCCAGGGTCGGCGGCACCGGCCGTGAGGCCCCAGCAATCTGAGGAGCGCCCGAAAAAAACCAGAGCCCCTCCTGCGCCCAGCGTGGGTTTTGTTCGGCGCCGCGACTGCAGAATCCGCGGGCGCACACGGGCATGCGGGCACGGTCCCTGAGATCCGACGCTCCAACAAAGATTGGAGCAGGCGGTTTTGGGCCGTTTTCGGCCTCCGGGGGCCCTCGCCAGGCCTCGGGAGCGTCAAAAAACGATTCAGGACGAAAAAACCGGTCCCAAGGAAGTGGTCTGGATCTCCTGGGCCCACGCACTAAAAAAATTAGAGCAGCCGGATGTCTGGGGTGTGACCCCCTCTGGCGGGGCACCTCCGAAGCAGACGTGCAGTGCAAACACCTTGTGGTATAACGTTGCCTGGGCGGCATGGCCAGAGAGCGCCCGCCACCAAGCATATGCTGTAAGACTTCTGAGCGCGGGCGGCGCCCCTGGGGAGTCGATGTAGAAATAGTCGGAGGAGGAGAAGGAGGAGGAGGAGGAGGAGGAGGCGGAGGAGAAGGAGGAGGAGGAGGAGGAGGAGGAGGTGAGATCGAAGAAAGACGGAGACCCCCCGCGCTTGAGAAATCGGTTTCGGTTTCGTGTCGCGCGTGCGGGCGAAGCGAAGCTGCGTGGGCGGGCGAGCGGAATGAACTCGCCGCTGCTAGAGCGAAACCCGTCCAAATGCTACTGTCCCCCCCCGCTGGCCGAAGGAGGCTCAGGGGTGTACCGCTGGTTGGGTGGTGGTGGCTTCGGGGTGTCCCGATGGTGTCCCGATGGTGTTCCGATGGAGATGATGTCCCGATGGTGTTCCAATGGTGTCAAGATGGTGTCCCGATGGTGCCCACCCTCACGTGGCAATGGTGTCCACATGGTGTCCCGATGGTGTCCCAATGGTGTCCAGATGGGTGTCACGATGGTGTCCACATGGCGTTCACATTGTGTCCCGATGGTGCCTCGATGATGTCCCGATGTTGTCCCGAAGATGTCCCGATGGTGTTCCGATGGTGCCCCGATGGTGCCCCGATGGTGTATCAATGGTGTCCCGATGGTGTCCCGTCCCTATGGTGTCCCGATGGTGTCCAGATGATGCCCCGATGGTGCCCCCATGGTGTCCCGATGGTGTCCCGATGGCGTCTCAATGATGTCCCGATGGTGTTCCGATGGTGTCCCGATGGTGCCCAGGGTATGTCCCAATCATGGTGTCACGATGGGCCCTCATGGTGTCCCGATGGTGTTCGCATGCCCCGATGGAGTGCCGATGGTGTCCACATTGTGACCCCATGGTGTCTCGATGTTGACCCGGTGTTTGTCCTGTGAGATCGGTAGATAGTGAGACCAGTCCGTAGTAACATTGATAGATCGATAACGCAATCGAGTGTGAGATGTATTGTACGAACAATAGATAGTGAGGCTGGTATATTAATAAAGGGACCGATGCTGAGATCAATCGTGATATCGACTAACAGATACTGGAGCGGATAGTGAGATAATGCTGTCGATCGTGAGACCAATAGACAGATATTGAAGCCAATAGCGTAATCGACAAACACATAAGGAAGTAAATGGCTAGATCGATAATGAGATCGAAGACAGAACCGTTAGTGATAGCTATAAGTATGTAGTGAAATTGATAGTCAGATCGATTGTGAGATCGACAATGAAATCGGACTGCGAGACATATAGTGAGGCCGATAATGGGATCGATTGACAAATAGTGGACGGATGGACCACAAATGTGTCCCGACGGTGTCCGAAAGTGTATCGATGGTGTCCTGGTGGGGGCATTTACTTGTCCCTGGGGTGCCCCTGTGGTGTCCCATCGCAGTTGCCATCAGTTGCCCCCCCACAACCGCCTTGTCACCCGAAAGGCGGTCGCATGGTAGAAGTATTTGGGTGATGCCAAGGGAAGAGCGACCTGTGATCCACAGCATGAGCCCCCTCCCGCGGGGGAGAGTGGGCGGGCGAACCCCTGCGCGCTGGCCGGTGCTGTCGGGGACTTACCTGCACCTCCTCTGTGGTCGGGAACTGTTGCTCAGCGTGTCGCGGCGGCGGCCCCAGCGAAACGCTACACCCTGCGAGCTGATGGCGTGTCGCTTCGCTCCGCGGGGCGGGAGGCCGAGAAAGGATTGCGACGTTGACGCCCGGGACATGGGCAGCGTGTTTCGCCACAGCGTGGTGGGCCAGGCCAGAAACGTCGGAGCGACAGGCTGAGTTTGATTTGAGCTATACGGCGCAAGGTTTTTGGCAATTCTCGGCCTTGGGGGGCCTTCACCGGGCCCCGGGACAAGTCAAAAAAACTACTCGGGACGAGAGACCAGCCCCAGGGAAGGGGTCTGGACATTCCTGGACATGCGGCGCCCTGGTGCTTTCAATGCGCGACCCCTGGAAGCGCCGATCCCTTCCCCAGGATCGGTGTTTCATCCCGGGGTTTGCTGATGGTTCCACGGCCCGGTGAGGGCCCCGAGAGGAAGACCACGATAAAAAAAAAAACCTCGTCCTGTTTTTTTGGAACGACGCGAGCATTTCTGGGTTCGGGGGTCGACGCTGCGAGCAAGCCGCGAGCGACGCCGGAGGTTTGGACAAGCCAGGGTGACCGCTGGTGCGCGGCACGAGGGGGCCGCGGGCGGGCGGGGGGGAGGGAGCCACATCCGGGCGCGCAGGCCAATGCTGGGAAGACCCCTGCTTGGATGGCCGCGGCGGCTGCTAGGTGGTTAGCGCGGATACTAAGGGGTTAGAGGATTTAGTATGTACGTACAAGTGAGTTGTAAGTAGGTGATAAGTGTTGTAAGTCGGATGTAAGTTGTATAACCAGCTACAACTGGTTAGTAGGAGATACTAACCACTTATAGCTGGAGGCTAACCTTGCTAAGTCTCTAGTAGAGGTTAGCTCGCTAAGTCCCCACTCTAGCTACCACTTGCTAACCACTTAGTAACCACTTAGCTGCCACTTAGTAACCACCCAGTAACCACTTACTAACCACTTAGTAACCACATAGTAAGTCCGCTAGCTAGCTTACTTACTAAGTGGTTAGCGGACTTACTAAGTGGTTAGCGGACTCTGAGAAGGAGAAGGAGGAGGGAAGAGGAGGAGGAGGAGGAGGAGGAAGAGGAGGGGGAGAGAGGAGGAGGAGGAGAAGGAGGAGGAGGAGGAGGAGAAGGAGGAGGAGATGTCGAGGAGGAGGAGGAGTAGGAGGAGGACGGGGAGGAGGATGAGGAGGAGGAGGAAAGGGGGAGGCGGCGGCGGAGGCGGCGACGGGCGCGCCTCAGCCCAAGACGGCCGCTCGACGCGGCGGCCCTGCAGGGCCGCCGCGTCGAGCGGCAGCCTGGCGCGGCTGAGCGCGGCGCAGGCGAAGTTCGCCTGCGCCGCGCTCTGCGCCGCCATCTCCAGCGGCATTGCCGCTGGCGCGGGCGGCGGGGGGGGCCCCGCGCGCCGCTCGGCAGCCAGAGCGGCCCACCGCACGTAGCCGTCGTCCACAACCCAGAGGGTTGGGGGACGACGACGTGCGACGGGCCGATGGCTGCCGAGCCCGTCCCACCCCTCGGGGATGTCGAGGAGGATCCCCGACATCCCCGAGGGGTCCTCCGAGAGGAGACTGCCCCATGGCTCGGGGTCGCCATCGAAAAACATGTCTTGATATGTTTTTCGATGGCGATCCCGAGCCGCGAAGCAAAGGGAAAAGGGAGGGCGCGCTCCCCGCGCGGCCTGTAAGCCGCACGCGCGCGGGCGGCGTCTCCTCCTCCCCCCTCCTTCTATCCTCCTCCTCCTCCTCCTCCTCCCTCTCCTCCTCCTCCTCCTCCTCCTCCTCCTCCTCCTCCTCCTCCTCCTCCTCCTCCTCCTCCTCTCCGCCTCCTCCTCTCGCCCTCCTCCTCTCGTCATCATCATATACTCCTCCCTCGTCCTCCTCCTCCTCATCCTCCTCCTCGTCCTCCTAACCCTCCGCTCCTCCATCGTCCTCCTCCTCCCCCCATCCCCTCCTCATCCTGCGCAAGACATTGCGCGCCAGAGATCCTCCGACGAG